GGTTGTGGCGTCCGAGAGTCCGTGTCGAGCCGCGACGTCATTGTAGCGTCGTGACGTCACATTGCCATGGCACAGCGATGTGACATCATCCCCAAGGCACTGTTGTGATGTCATCCCATCCCACCATTGCGTCATCCGTAGTCACATCATCCCCTGGGTCTCCGCCCCCTGATGTCATCACCCCCCGCCCACTGCGACATCATCTTCCCGAGATACTGCTGTGATGTCACCCCCCACTCCATGACATCATCCCCTGGGATTCCACCTCCTCATGTCATCGCCCCCCCCGCCCACTGCGACATCGTCTTTCCGAGACACTGCTGTGATGTCACCCCCCCACTCCATGACATCATCCCCTGGGATTCCACCTCCTCATGTCATTGCCCCCCCGCCAACTATGACATCATCTTCCCGAGACACTGCTGTGATGTCACCCCACCGACTCCATGACATCATCCCCTGGGATTCCACCTCCTCATGTCATCGCCCCCCGCCAACTATGACATCATCATCCGTAGACACTGCTGTGATGTCACCCCCCCACTCCATTACATCATTCCCCGGGATTCCACCTCCTCATATCATCACACCCCCCCGCCCACTATGACATCGTCTATCCGAGACACTGCTGTGATGTCACCTCCCACTCCATGACATCATCCCCTGGGATTCCACCTCCTCATGTCATCACCCCCCTGCCCACTGCGACATCATCTTCCCGAGACACTCCTGTGATGTCACCCCCCACTCCATGACATCATCCCCTGGGACTCCGCCCCCGAATGTCATCACCCCCCCCTTGCCACACTGGGACATCATCCTCCCAAGACCCTAGTGTGATGGCATCCCCAACATTATGACATCATCTCACAGTGACATCCGCCCACCATGGTACATGCCCATAGGGCCTTGGTTTTATGAGATCATCACACTGTGACCTCACCCCATGACATCATCACGATGTCAACAACATATCTTGTGACTTTGCACCGATCCTCACACCTTTGCACCACCCTCTTGTGATGTCACACCCTGAGATCACCCCAGCTTGACGCTATCCCCCAAGTCCTCAGGCTGTGACAAGCCCTCGTCACCCCCCCAAAACAGCATCATCCCGCCAGGGCATCTCTGGCCTGCGCTCTGCAGTGGGGGGACGGCACGAGGGAGGGAGGGATGGACGGTAGAGGGTGCAGATGGGGATGGGGGGCTGGAGAATGCCAGGTGCAGATGGGGGGGCTGGATAACCACAAAGCCCAGAAGGCCCCATGGGGCCCCCCGACTGCCCCCGCCCGTGTCACGCAGGCCCCTCCTGGCCCCTCCATGGAGTTTGGCTAAAGCAGCTACCCAAGGGGCTGCGGCCCGGAGCGCAGGAGAACCCGGCCCCTCACGGGGATGGACGGAGCGTGGGACTTTGTCTACCTTTAGCATCCAGCCCCCGGTCCCTGGGACTCCAGGTCACCCGCCCCCCCAGTGTGGGTCCCAACACCCCCCCCTTGGGAGTGCTGGGGCCAAAGGAGGAGCAGCAGGTTCCTAGCCCCGTTACTGTTCCCCCCACACTCCAGGAGACCCATGGGAGACGTATCACTGGGAGGGGGAGCCCAGGAGAAAGACGGGGTGCAGGTCAGGTGTGGGCATCCCCCCCAAAATGGGGACTCAGCAGCAGCTGGGAGGGGGGAGAGAGGCAGGTCTGGCGGGCAGGGATGACGGAGCCAGGGAGGGTCTGGGGGAGGGATTAATGCTCCCAGCTTGTCCCGGCTCCCATGGGGGCTCGGTGATGTGGGGGTCCTGGATTGGGGGGGAATCAGAGAGATGGGGGACCAGGGGTTACCTACCCACACCCACTCCAGCCACCCCCATCCCCCTGGTTATAACAGGCCTGCACCTCCACTGGTGCCAGGGTGTGAATCCACCCCACCCCCCCAAAACCTCCCAGGCTCCTGTAGCCCCAAACTCCAGCCCCCTCTGCTCCCAACCTGAATGCCCCAAACCCCAGCCTCATCCAGTCCCAGTCCCCCCACACCCCAAGCCTCAGACCCCCCAAACTCATCCCGAAAAGCCCCAAGCCTCTTCTGTGGGAAACCCTCTAACCACAGCCCCCCACAGCCCTGAACCCCATTTTCCTTGGGGGATTGAAGCAGGACTCCTGGGTTCCATCCCCAGCTCTGTGAGGGGAGTGGGGTCTAGTGGTTAGAGCAGGGGGGCTGGGAGCCAGGACTCCTGGGTTCTCTCCCTGGCTCTGGGAGGGGAGTGGGGTCTAGCAGCTAGAATGGGGGTGGGCTGGGAGCCAGGACTCCTGGGTTCCATCCCTGGCTCTGGGAGAGGAGTGGGGTCTAGTGGCTAGAGTAGGGGGGGGCTGGGAGCCAGGACTCCTGGGTTCCATCCCCAGCTAGGGGGGTGGGGGAGGTTAGGAGCCAGGACACCTGGGTTCTACTCTCCCCCAGGCTCCTTTTTGGCCCTATTGTGGGGGTTCCCCCTGACCAAGGCCCCACAGTACTTGGACGGGGTCCCTGACTCCAACCTGACCCTCCCGCCCCCCCTCTGGGACTGCGGGGGTAGAGGAATGGGCAGACAGTTTCCCACCCAGCCCCTCAACAGCGCTGTCCGGCTGCCCCTCCCCCTCCAGGCTCCGGGAAGGGGAGGGCTTGGGGGGGGGGGAGGCGGTGCCCGGAGTGGGAGGGGGGAACTGAGTCGACTTCCTCAACACACCATATGAAAGG